CTAAGCAGGGGGTTGGACTAGAAGACCTCCAAGGTCCCTTCCAACTCTGTTATTCTATTCTAATTCAAAGGGAGGTGGTGCCTGCACACAACACACACCTGGGCACCTGCTGCAGGTGAGATCAGACCCTTCCATCCATCCATCCATCCATCCATCCATCCATCCATCTCCAGGCTGCATGTATTGTCTCAGTAATCCTTGCTGCCCGAGATCTCCTAGGCCAGTAATGCGAACGTATGGCGCGCGTGCCAGAAGTGGCACGCAGAACCATCTCTCCGGGCACATGAGCCGTTGCCCGTTGTTCTTCCAGGTTCCGCTGCGCTGGCCAGCTGGTCTTCACGTGCGCGGGAGTGCCGGGAAACTGGAAAAGCAGCCGCCCGGTGCACATACATGCGCCAGGAAGTTCATCTTCTGGTTTCCAGTGCACATGCGTGTCAGCCAACTGGTCTTCGCGCGTGCATGCACACCAAAAACCAGAAGACCAGATGGCCAGTGCATATGCATGCGCCGGAAACCGGAAGATCATTTTCCCGGCGTGCACATACGCACCGGGTGGCTGCTCTTCTGGTTTCTTGCACGCATTGCGTGCGCGCTCCCGTTTCGACACTCGGTGCGACCCCGTCCTAGGCGAAAGACCAACCGCAGTGGTGGATCTGGCGGCGAGCCAAAGCCAAGAAGTCATTGACCCAGGGGTGAAATGCTCCTGGTTCAGACCGGATCGGGCGATCCGGTAGCGATCGTCGTGGTTGGTTCGACGATCCGGTAGCGATGGCAGAGCGAAGCTCCGCGCAACTGCCCGGGTGTCCCTGGTTTTAACCAGAAAGAATTTGTGTTTTTTACCTTTGTGTGCATGCACAGAAACTTTTGCGTGCGATGTGCGCACACGCGAGCAAACCAAGCGTGCACGCACGGCGCACGCACTTCCGAACCGGTAAGGAAGGTAAATAGATTTCACCCCTGCATCTACCCCATATAAAAGCCCTTCCAGATCTACCACGCTCTTGATGCCAAGCGAATGTCTCCCCAGATGTGGCAACCTAACAGCTGCTTTTCGCTCCCCTTCTCCTCTATCTTTAGCAAGTAGGACCATTGACACGGGAGCTTCCCACGTCCTCCTCTCTTTGAAAGAAAGCCTGTCCGGTCTCAAATCAAGATCTTTGCAAAAGGAGGCCAGATCTGGAAGTTGGGGAGTGGCCAGGCCACCAAAGGGAGGTCCAAGGGAGATCCTCAATGTTAGGCTCTTCTTCTTCTTCTTGATCAAGTCTTGGAGGATCATCTTACTCCCTGGTCATCTTTCAGCCAGGAGGAGACAGGGGTGGGCCTCTTGCCAAGAGAGAGCTGGGTGGGCAGTTGGGAGGGAGGGCTTCCACCTCAACACACCTGAGACCTTTCCCCTTTCCCACAGAGATGTCCACCCTTCCGGCTATCTTCACAGGTCCATCCCATCCAACAAAATGCATGACTGGGAGTGTGGGTGGATGGCCAGCTTCCTCCTCTTCCTCCTCTTCTTTCTCCTCCTCCTCCTCTTCCTCCTCTATCTTCTTTTCATCTATCTTCTTCTCCTTTCTCTTCCTCCTCCTTATTTTCATCTATCTTCTCCTTTCTCCTCCTCCTCTATCTACTTTTCATCTTCTTTTTCTCTTCCTCCCCTTCGTCTTCCTCCTTCTCCTCCTCCTCCTCCTCCTCTATCTTCTTTTCATCTATCCTTCTTCTTCACCTCCACTTCTCCCCTCCTCCTCCTCCTCTAAAGAAGATATCATCTATCTTCTTCTTCACCTCCACCTTCTCCCCCTCCTCCTCCTCCTCTATCTTTTTATCTATCTTCTCCTCCTCCACCACTTTCTCCTCCTTCTCTCCTCCTCTTTCTCCTCCTCCACCCTCCTCCTTTATCTTCCTTTCATCTGTCCTCCTCTTCTTCTTCTTCACCTTCTCTTCTTTTCATCTATCTTCTTCATCTCCTCTTTCTCCTCCTCCTCTATCTTCTTAACATCTTTCTTCTTCATCATCTCCTCCTCCTCCTCTATCTTCTCTTCCTCCTCCTCTATCTTTTATCTATCTTTTTCCTTCCTCCTCCTCTATCTTCTTTTCCTCCTCCTCTTCCTCCTCCTCCTCCTCCTCCTCCTCCTCTATCTTCTCTTCCCCCTCCTCTATCTTTTATCTATCTTTTCTCCTTCCTCCTCCTCTATCTTCTCTTCCTCCTCTTCTTTCTCCTCCTCCTCCTTCTCCTCTATCTTCTTTTCATCTTTCTTCTTCTTCTTCACCTCCTCCTCCTCCTCCTCCCCCCCCCATTTCCCCCCCACCAGCCAGCATTCCACCAAGGGAGCATCTGCAAAGCGTGGCCGTCTCTGACAGCCGCAGGGCAAGCCAACTCTCTTAACCCCTTGGGCTCCGGGGAGGGGGAAGGAATGGGGGCAGAGCCAGAGGGAAGGAGGAAGAGAGAGAAGGAGGGAACGGGAGAGAGGGAGGGAGGGAGGGAGAGACCCGGTGTCTTTCCTCTCTCTCCTCTTGACGCGCGAAAACCCTCGCCCTTCCTCCTCCTCCTCCTCCTCCTCCTCCTCCGCACAGACACACAGTCCTTTTCCACCTCCCAACAGGGACCAGGAATGAATGAGCGAGAAAGCTAATGAATGAGTTTCTCCAGAGTTTGATGCTTTCCATGCAGCGGGAGCTCCCAGAGTCCCCTCGGGAAGAAGTGGGGGGCGGCAAAGGGGGGGCGCGTGGATCTCAATTGTATGAATAAACCCAACTCTCCCGGGCGGGGAGGGGAGGGGGGGCGCACTGCCCCAGCTTCACCCCACACACCCACCCGTCCTTGTTCTCCGCCCTTCATCTGCAAAAGGTGGGACGTTCTCCCCCTTTTAATCAGACCCACCTTTTAAGGCATCTTCAGGACGGGGGGGTGGGGGGATGGGGGGAGAAGGTGGGGAAGAGGAGGAGAGGGGGAAACCCCCTTTTTCCTTCCTTCCTTCCTTCCTTCCTTCCTTCCTTCCTGCCTTCCTGCCTTCCTTCCTTCCTTCTTTCTTTCTTTCTTTCTTTCTCGCTTTCTTTCTTTCTTTCTCTTTTTCTTTCTTCCTTCCTTCCTTCCTTCCTTCTTCCTTTCTTCTTTCTCTCTTTCTTTCTTTCTTTCTCTTTCTTTCTTTCTTTCTTTTTTAAAATTAAAAAAAAACCCTCACTTTGTTCCATCTCAAAACTTTCTCCTTCTTCTCCTCTCTCTCCTCTCCCTGTCCCCCCCCTCCCTCTTGCCTTGAACATGCCTTTTCGTCGCTTGGATCCCCCCCACCCACCCACCACCCACCCACCGGAGCAAGAGCTGGGCTCCTTCCAGGCCTGCTCCCAACATCTGGACGTTCCTCTTTCCTCCAAGACCCCAAGACCCCTGCCCCCCCTGTTCTCCCTCCCTGCCCCCCTCCCCCAGCTTTCCGGACCCTGACAGCTTGCAGCCCCCCCTTTTTTTTTTTGGCTTGCTGGCTCACCCCTTAGCGCGGCGGCTTTCAGTCTGAAGGCAAGCGGCCTCAATACCGACGTCATCCCGTTCTCAGTGCATGGCTGTCCCGCGGCAAAGCCTCAGAAAGCTGGCTCGGGGGTGCATCTTCCGCTCCAGCCGCCCCCCGAAGGGTTCAGCGCCTCAGCCCGGCTCGGAAAGTCTCTTCTGGGCTCAGCCCCGCTTTGCGCTCTCGCCTCCGGAGGAATCCTGAGCTTGAAAGGGCTGGCCGGAAAGTTTGCGCTTCCCATTTAAGTCTCGGCTCGCGGGTGCCTTGCGGGGCAGCAGAAAAAGGGGGAGAGGAGGCTAGTTGGGCAGCCGGGGGGCTCCATGCTTGCTCGCCCACCGGCCCACCCCAGCCAACCCCCCCCACGGCGCGACCACCGCCGCCGCCGCCTTCTCTATCCTCCTCCCCGGGGAGAGCAGAGCCAAAGTCCAGCAGCGTGGCTCGCTCGCCTGCTGGAAAAAGTCCTTTTGCCGGAAGAAAAAGAACGAAAGAAAGAAAAGAAAGAAAGAAAGAAAGAAAGAAAGAAAGAAAGAAGAGAAGAAAGAAGAAAGAAAGAAAGAAAAGAAAGAAAGAAAGAAAGAAGAAAGAAAGAAAGAAAGAAAGAAAGAAAGAAGAGAGAAGAGAGAGAGAGAAAGAAGAGAGAGAGAGAAGAAAGAGAGAGAGAGAGAGAAAGAGAGAGAAAGAGAGAGAAAGAGAGAGAGAGAAGAGAGAGAGAAGAAAGAGAGAGAAGACAGAAGAGAGAGAGAAAGAAGAGAGAGAAGCAGAGAAAGGAGAGAGAAGAGAAAGAGAGAGAGAAAGAGAGAGGAGAAGAAGAGAAGAGAAGAGAAAGAAGAGAAGAAGAGAAAGAAAGAAGAGAAAGAAGAGAAGAAGAGAGAGAGAAGAAAAGAAAGAAGAAAGAAAGAGAAAGAAGAAGAGAAGAGAAGAAGAGAAAGAAAGAAAGAAAAAGAAAGAGAGAAGAGAAGAAAGAAAGAACGAGAAGAATAAGAAAGAAAGAACAAGAGAGAGAGAGAAGAAAGAGAAAGAAGAGAGAGAAGAGAAGAGAAAGAGAAGAAGAGAGAAGAAGAAGGAAGGAAAGGAAGGAAGGAAGAAGAAGAAGAAGAGAAGGAAAGAAGAAGAAGAAAGAAGAAAGAAAGAAAGAAAGAAAGAAAGAAAGAAAGAAAGAAAGAAAGAAAGAAAGAAGAAAGAAAGAAGAAAAGAAAGAAAGAAAGAAAGAAAGAAAGAAGAATAAGAAAGAAAGAAAGTAAAGAAAGAAAGAAAAACCGAGAGTCGCGGTTCGGGAAGACCTCGGCACCTCGCTTTTGCAAATTTGGCCCGGTTCTTTCTTTTTTTTTCCTTTTTGGGGTGGGGTGGGGGGTCTCTGCAAGAGGAACCCAGAAAGGGGTTTCCAGCGGCTCTTAAGAAGCGATGCGGCTCTTTCGCCCGGTGGAAATCCGCGTCTGGGTTTCTGTGGGAGGAGAGGAAAGGGGGAGAAGAGAGAGGAGAGGAAAGAAGAAAAGAGAGGAGGAAAAGAAACGGAGAAAAGGGAATTAAAAAAAGAAAGGAGAAAGGAGAAAGGGGTGGGAGTGGGGGAAACAGAGCTTTTCCAGCGACCAGCAGCCAGCCGGTCGATGCTGCCCTCCGGTGGGCTCGTTGGGAAGCTGGAAACGAAGGGAGTTTTTTTTTTCCCCCTTTGGCAAGGTTGAGAGGGGGGGCGGTTTGTGAAGGTGAATGAAAAAAAGGGAAAGGGCCCAGGAAATTAAATTAAACCCTTGGCAAAAAAAAAAAAAAAAAATCCGATGCTGCCCGGTTTAGAGAGAAGAAGCCGGCTTGAACCGAATCTGGCTTGCAAAAGGTTAATTGTACCTGCTTAGTTAAAGTGGGTTTTTTTTTCCCCAGGATCCCAGAAAAAACGGATGTCATGATAATTCATTGGGAACGGAATGGAGTGAAGTAGAGTGGAGTGGAGTGGAGTAGAGTAGAGTAGAGTAGTAGTGTAGTAGTGTAGAGTAGAGTAGAGTAGAGTAGAGAAGAGTAGAGAAGAGAAGAGAGAGAGAAGAGAAGAGAGAGAGAGAAGAGAGAGAGAAGAGAGAGAGAGAAGAAGAGAGAGAGAGAAGAGAAGAGAAGAGAAGAAGAGAGAAGAGAAGAGAAGAGAAGAGAAGAGAAGAGAAGAGAGAGAGAAGAGAAGAGAAGAGAAGAGAAGAGAAGAGAGAGGGAGGAGATTAGAATAGTAGATAGGATAGGATAGGATAGGATAGGATAGGATAGGATAGGATAGGATAGGATAGGATAGGATAGGATAGGTAGGATAGGATAGAATGGGATAGAATGGGATAGAATAGAATTCTTTATTGGCCAAGTGTGATTGGACACACAAGGAATTTGCCTTTGGTGCATAAGCTCTCAGTGTACATAAAGAAAAAATAAAATATATTCCTCAAGAACACTTAGTGATAGTCATAGGATACTAATAAGCAATCAAATTATACTAGAAAACAATAAAAACAATATAAGTTGTAAAGATACAAGCAACATGGCTCGAGTCATAAGTGGGAAGAGATAGGTACTACTAGTAAGGATAAGAAGAAGAATAGTAATACAGTCTTAGTAGTTAGTTTGACAGTGTTGTGGGAATTAGTTGTTTAAATGTCTGGGGAGATTCTCCATCCATCCTCCAAGATCAAAGGTGCTTTTTTCTTCTTCTTTCAAAAGATAGATAGATAGATAGATAGATAGATAGATAGATAGATGATAGAGAGATAGAGAGATAGAGAGATGATAGATAGAAAGAGAGAAAGAGAGATAGGAGATAGATGATAGATAGATAGATAAATAGATAGATGATAGAGAGATAGAGAGATAGAGAGATGATGATAGATAGATAGATAGATAGATAGATAGATAGATAGATAGATAGATAGATAGATGATAGATAGATGATAAATAGATGATAGATGGATAGATGGATGATAGATAGATAGATAGATGAGAGAGAGAGAGAGAGAGATCTTAGAGAGATAGATAGATAGAGAGATGAGAGAGAGATAGAAAGATAGATAGATAGATAGATAGATAGATAGATAGAGATAGATAGATGAGAGAGAGAGAGAGAGAGAGAGAGAGAGAGATAGCTTTACTGATTAGTCTATTGGCCATATTTCAAAAGGCTACTGGACTTTCTTTGTTTCTCCTTCAGAACTGAAGAAGCTCCTGGGATGAGAAGCGAAACATCTTCAAAGGGAAAACAAACACAGTCCAGTCGCCTTTTGGGGAAAAAAAACAGCACTTTTGGGACAATCAATCAATCAATCAATCAATTTGTAGGAGGCAAACATCCACTGCTTGTGGACTTCACTTGGAGGTGGAACAAAAGCTGTTGGAACCCAGCCAAATTTCTATTTCATTTCTAGGTCTTTATTTTTTTTTTTAATGTTTATTTTTTAGCCTTGGGTTTCTGTCTTTCTTCTGATCTTGGAAGTATCCAAAATAGGGGGGGATAGTGGGGGATCCGTCATTAAGGGAAATGCGGAGCTTCAGAAGCTGAAGAACCGAAGAAGCTCCTTGGATGAGAAGCGAAACGTCTTCAGGGAAAAACAAAGAAAATCCAGTTGCCTTTTTGTGGGGTGAGGAAACAAACACCTTTGGGACCTTGGGGTTTTAACTGGCTGTGAGTCTTTGGGGTCACCCAACACTCTCAACCCAATCCGGGGTTAGGTTGGCTTCGATGAAAGTCATTCATTGTCCTTTGGGTAGACAGACGAGCGGCATATAAATTTAATAACTTGTGTTCATTCAGCCCAGTTTTTTTTTTTTTAATTTGATTTATATGCCGCCCTTCTCCGGAGACTCAGGGCGGCTTACAATGCGCTAAGCAATAGCCTTCATCCTTTTGTATATTTATACAAAGTCAGCTTATTGCCCCCACAAACTGGGTCCTCAATTTACCTACCTTAGAAAGGATGGAAGGCTGAGTCAACCTTGAGCCTTGGCAAGATTCGAACCTGCAGTAATTGCAGGCATCTGGTCTTAATAACCAGCTTAATAACAGGGTGCCTTAGACCACTGTACTACCAAGTTGTGGTTGCATTGCTGCAACAGACTAACACAACTCTTTTTTTTTTTTAAAGGGTTAAGTGAACGGTAACCAAGGTTCCAGTCCTTAATATGTCCCCGAGGGTTAGTCTCACGGGACGATCAGAAGCACTAATGGTTAAGGAATTGAGATGAAGATTGTTGAAAAGTTATTCTCTATTTAATTACACTCCTAACCGAATAAAAGAAAGGGTTTGGAACAGAGGGTGATTTTTTTTTTTTAAGGAATTCTTAAACGTTGCCCAAATAGGTGATCAGTAATGCATTGGATGGAAAAGCTGCTAGTCCCTAGGAGAATTTACAGCATAAATCCCAGGGAATGCTTCGGCCAGTTGAATGCCAATTATAAACACTCAGTTTCCCTCTTTCTACCACACCTGATTTTTTATTTTATTTTTCTTCCGTCTCCTGGACTGGAAGTCGCTTAAAGGATCAAAAGAGAGCGCCAGATTTCCTTTAAAAAAAGCAGTTTTCTTCTCAAATTGCTGGCGAAAAGAATGGAGAAGCGTCGTATTCTCCCTAGCGCACCAAACTTGGGAAAGAATTTTGCCCCTTTTTCCCCAGCTGTCTAAAATTAAAAAGGGATCCGTAGATGGCTTTGTTTTCTCAAATTCAATTTATAAATAAAAACAGGGAGAGAGTAAAAACACCCTGGCTAGGTATTTTAAGCACTGCAATGAGTAATTTACTCATTCAAACAGACGTGGATTCCACACTCCCACCCCATAAAAATCAGCCCATGGCAAAACATTCCTGGCCAAATAACGACTAAAAATTAGCATTTGCCTGTGGAAGTGACCACAGGCTCCAGACCTTTTAAAAGAAAAGCTAACCCAGAAAATAAAAATGTCAAAAAGAGCAGAAATGCACTTGTGTAATGAACATCATTTGCATTTCGAGTTTAAAATGGCAAAGAAAAGAGAAAAAAAAATCAGAATGGATTTTAAATAATTGGCCAAGGAGCTTTCTTTCATATACCCAGATTTTCTCTCTCTCTCTCTAAGTTTAAGTTGATTTATTTGTCAACTTACAGGACAACTTATTTGTCAAGGTTACAGGTAAAAGTAGAAACATAATTTGAATACATGAAAAGAGTAAGTAAAAAAAGGAATATTAGGACAGGAACAGTAGGCACGCTGGTGCACTTATGCACGCCCCTTACAATCGGTTTAAATTTAGCTTTTAAATTTAAAGCCACGCGGAAGGAGGAATTTTGGAGCGCGGATATACTTACCCTACATCCAGGTAAGATGTAGAAGGCCTCTCTCTCTCTCTCTCTCTCTCTCTCTGCAAACAGACTTTAAAACAAAACCAAAAAAAAAGTAAAGAAAAAAAATATTGCAATTTTCTTCTAGGGACTTTTTTTCCCTCTCCCCCCCCCCCCAATTCCTGATCTTTTTAGGATTGCAAATATGCAACGGGTCATTGGGTCATCAGACAGCCCAGACCATCTCCAGGGATCTGAGGTGCCGAATCCCCTGCTTGGATGGGTGCAGGTAGCTTCACCCCACGATCCAAAGATGCTGGATGGGACGACAACAACAACAAAAATTCAGAGGCAGAGCAGAGAACGGATGAAGGAAGAGGATGGATCTGCAGCCGAGCACACACGGGGAAAAAATTGATTTCTCTGCTGCCTCCTGTTGCTTTTAAATAGCTGCAGGGACTTTTAAAAAAAGCAAAAAAAAAAAAAACTTTGGGAACCAGGTGTCTGGTTTCTGTGCGCTTTCCAAGCTAATGAATATCAAACTTACTTCCAGGAATGACTCCTGTAAGCCAGAAGCTTAGCCTCCTCTCTCCAAATTGCAGGCCGGGGGCCGAGGAAGTGCCAAATCCTTCTATGCTTGGCTCTCTGTTCGCCTTTGCGAAGGTGCAGATGATGTCCCACTGTGTAAAAGAAGGGAGGTGCGGAAGGTGGGGGGGGGAAAGGGGAGGAGAGGAAAATGGGTAAGAAAGATCCTCCTGCCCAAGGCTGGCTAGCATCAGAGAAGGGATGAAGAAGGGACTTTGGAGGAGGGGACTCGACCCAGCTCGATGGAGGATGTCCTATCTCCATCGACGGGATGGATGGGCCACCAAACGTCTGCAGCTCCCAAGGGAAAAGAAGGGGAAGCCATTCTGCAGTGGTATTGGAGTCTTTGTGTTCCCCGTCTTTTTTTCCCCCTACTCTTTTCTCACAGGTAGATAGTGAGATAGATGGGCAAGTGGATGAGTGGGTGGACAGATAGATGAACAGATAGGTAAGTGTATAGAACAGATGGGTAGGTAGGTAGGTAGGTAGGTAGGTAGGTAGGTAGGTAGGTAGGTAGGTAGATGAGAGAAAGAGAGAGATGTACCTATATAAATTAAGTGGATGGATGGATGGATGGATGGATGGATGGATGGATGGATGGATGGACAAGTAGACAAGTTGAGTATGTTTGTAGGTAGGTAGGTAGGTAGGTAGAAGTAGATAGATAGATAGATAGATAGATAGATAGATAGATGATAGATGATAGATAGATAGATAGATAGATAGATAGATAGATAGATAGATAGATAGAAAGATGAGAGAAAGAGAGAGATGTACCTACATAAATTAAATAGATGGACGGATGGATGGACAAGTAGGCCAGTTGAGTATGTTTGTAGGTAGGTAGATTAGATAGATAGATAGATAGATAGATAGATAGATAGATAGATAGATAGATAGATAGACAGACAGACAAAATGGATGATGGATGGATGGATGGATGGACGGACTGACAGAGATGAACAGATAGATGACTGTATAGAATAGATGGGTAGGTAGGTAGGTAGGAAGATAAAAGAGCGAAAAAGAGGGATATGGCTGGCTGGATGAATGGATGGACGGACAGACAGACAAATTGAGTGTATAGGTAGACAGACAGACAGAGAAAACATGAGTGGAATAGATGGGATGAGAGAGAGAGAGAGAGATGGATTGGATGGATGGATGGATAAACAAGTTGAGTAGACAGATGGACAGACTTGAATAGACAACACTGATAATTTATTATGGAATTTCCCAAGTTCTACACAATCAAGTGCAAACAAAAATAACGACTGATTAATCTGGTTTCACACACACGTATCACCCTTGTAAGCCATCCACAGCATACCCAAGAAGCCACAATTGTTGGGTAGATATAACCAGGCTTAGTTAGGCCGTGGCTCAAAAACCATCACGGCTGGGTCCGGATGCTAAGCTCCATTCAGCTTCCTGCCATCAGTATACACAGAAAGGACAGGATTTGCCTTGGTCCGTTTTGAGTCTCCATCCCATCGTCAAATAAACTTGCGGGAATTTAAGGAGGGCTGTGAATTCCGCAGGTGAGGAATTCAAAATGGTTCGAGCTTCAAAACTGTTAGTTGTCTTTCCATAAGTATGAGCAAGCAGGAAAGTTTCGTTCGAATTATTCTTTGCTGCAAAAAATTACAGCTAGAGCAATTTGGTTTTTTCCCCCAAAAAACACATCCTTTATTCTTTCTTGTTTTAATATGAAATGTTAATCAACCACCTCTTTTTATAAGCGGAAGGAACTCGATCCCTTTCCACTTTCTTCCATGGAAAGCCAGTTTGCGTTCCTCATCGTTTTTTACTATCCTTTTTTTTTTTAATTTTGATTTATATGCCGCCCTTCTCGGAGACTAAGGGCGGCTTACAATGCGTTAAGCAATAGCCTTCATTCTTTTGTATATTTATACAAAGTCAGCTTATTGCCCCCACAATCTGGGTCCTCAATTTACCTACCTTAGAAAGGATGGAAGGCTGAGTCAACCTTGAGCCTTGGAGAGATTCGAACCAGCAGAAATTACAGGCAGCTGTGTTAATAACAGGGTGCTTAGACCACTGTACTACCAAGGCTCTTTTAGAAGTCGACGCTAAACTTTCGTGTACATTTGATCCCGGTGGTGAATCCAGCTCTCCGACCAGATCGTCCCTTTTTAAGGAAAGAAAATGAAATTCTATAACCCTGAACTGACAAACAAGGATTTTTTTCTTGTGCGTTTGTATTTCTAACACAAACACACGAGTCCTGCCCTCCCCCCAGTCACATCTGAATTCTTTTGGCCAAGCTGGCCTCTCCAGAATTTGCTCGAAAAGCTCTCTCGTGAGTTCATAAACATACCTCAGGAATAGAGTCCACAAATTACAGGTCGACGCTAAAAACAGTCATCTAACACGACCGCGAAGGTACAGGATAGGTTCTTGAGAAACGGCTCCTGGAATGAATGAAAAAAAAAAGAGAGAGATGTTCAGATCCTAGAAAGAGCAACAAAGACAATAAAGATAATCTGGAAGCTAAATCGTATGAAGAACGGTTGAAGGAAAAAGGTATGTCTATTCCAAGGGTCAGCAACCTGCAGCTCTGGAGCCGCATGTGGCTCTTTCACCCCTCTGCTGCGGCTCCTTGTCACTCAAATATGCACCACGATCGCCAATGTGCGACACCCACCGGCACGCAATTTATTGAGATTTTCAACCCCCGGTAGGCCAACCATGGATAAATCCAAGAAAAGAAAAGTTTCAGAAGAAAACAGAACGTTGAATTCAACTACAGATGCTAGTTTTGTGGCTCGAGAAATAGTCAGGCACGGGAAGGGTTTTGTGGCTCCCGGTGTTTTCTTTTCTGTGGGAAACGGGTCCAAATGGCTCTTTTGAGTGTTTAAGGTTGCAGATCCCCTGCCCTAGTCTAACAAAGAGAAGGACTATGGGTGACGTTGGTAGCAGTGTTCTAATATTTGAGGGCCTATCACGTAGAGGATGGGGACAACCTATTCTCCAAAGCACCCGAAGGCAGGACAAGAAGCGATGGATGGAAACTAATCAAGGAGGGAAGCAACCTAGAACTAAGGAGAAATTTCCTGACAATGGGAACAATTCATCAGAGGAACAATTGTTATGTTCTCCCATAGCTTGCTAAACTCCAGAGGTTGTGAATGTTTCAGGACTGGAAGTTTTCAAGAAGAGATTGGACTTTTTGTCTGAAATGGTATAGGGTTTTGAGTAGGGGGTTGGACTAGAAGACCTCCAAGGTCCCTTCCAACTCTGTTATGAATGCTTGTAAGTGTGAACAACTGTCATAAGTCACTTTTTCCAGTGTTGTTGTAACTTCAAAGAGTCACTGCATGAACTGTTGTAAGTCGAGGACTCTCTGCATTCAAAATATCATATTATTATTATTATTATTATTATTATTATTATTATTATTATTAAATCTTTGGGGAGATTCACAGCCTTTGAGGCTGGTTAATGACTCAGCAGCTCGAGTCCTAACCAAGGACCTAGGAACTGTTAAGGTATCGTTGGAGGATGTAAGCTGTTCCGAGTAAGGTGGTTTTTTGTAGAGTCAAAATGTTCAAGTCCGGCAAATTTAGAATTTCTAAATAGCGGGGTAGCCCTTTGGGTATTGCTCCGAGGGCTCCAATTACAATCGGGACAACACACAATTTCTTTTTCCACAGTCGCTCAACTTCAATTGACAAATCCCGGTACTTTGTGATTTTTTCTTGCTGCTTATCTTCAATTCGTGCATCACCAGGTATTGCAATGTCAATGAACCATACTTTTTTCTTTTCAACTATTGTTATGTCAGGTGTGTTGTGGACCAAGTGCCTGTCAGTCTGAATCCTAAAGTCCCACAAGATCTTGAGTTTCTCATTCTCTAAAACTTTCTCAACCTGATGTTCCCAGTGGTTTTTGCTGTACTCAAATCCAAACTTCTGGCACAATTTCCAGTGAATGATTTTAGCAACACGGTCATGGCGTTGTAGGTAGTCAGTTTGTGAAATTTTGCTGCACCCACTGATCAGGTGGTCGACTGTCTCATCTTTCTCATTGCAGAGGCGGCATTTGCTGGTTGGTGGTAACATGTTGAATTTTTGCCTTCATACAGTTTGTGGCTAGGGCTTGTTCTTGAGCTGCCAAAATAAAGCTTTCTGTTTCTTTTTTCAGTACTCCTGATCTTAACCAGTTCCAAGTTAGTTTCTGGTCAGCTTTGCCTTCAATACTTTTCAAGTATTGGCCATGCAGAGCTTTGTGTTTCCAATTTTCAGCTCGCTGCTCAATTACTTCTTTCTTATATTCTGCTTTTGTTTTAGTTGTCTTTTAAAAGGCCTCCTTTATTTACTTCCTTAATCATTGGTTCTTCACTTTTCTGGATGTAACCATTCAAGCTGCATTTTTCTTCTTCCACAGTCTGCTTTACTTGTAGGAGTCCTCGACCACCCTCTGCTCTTGGTAAATATAATCGGTCAACATCACTTTTAGGGTGCAAGGCATGATTCATTGTCATAAACTTCCTTGTTTTTCTGTCCAAATTGTCTAACTCCATCTGGGTCCAGTCAATTATTCCTGCAGAGTATCTAATCACAGGTATAGCCCAGGTATTTATGGCTTTTATGATGTTTCCTCCACTCAATTTGGACATTAATATCTTACCTTTTCAACTATTGTTATGTCAGGTGTGTTGTGGACCAAGTGCCTGTCAGTCTGAATCCTAAAGTCCACAAGATCTTGAGTTTCTCATTCTCTAACACTTTCTCAACCTGATGTTCCCAGTGGTTTATATTGTACTCAAATCCAAACTTCTGGCACAATTTCCAGTGAATGATCTTAGTAACACGGTCATGGCTGTGGCGTTGTAGGTAGTCAGTTTGTGAAATTTTGCTGCACCCACTGATCAGGTGGTCGACTGTCTCATCTTTCTCATTACAGAGGCGGCATTTGCTGTTGGTGGTAACATGTTGAATTTTTGCCTTCATGAAGTTTGTAGCCAGGACTTGTTCTTGAGCTGCCAAAATGAGGACCCAGTTTGTGGGGGCAATAAGCTGACTTTGTATAAAGATACAAAAGTATGAAGGCTATTGCTTAACG